CTATTGATTAGTTTCAGTTTGCCTAATCATCATGCATCGTCTACAACAATCACGACTATTCTCCACCGATAGCCCAAGCAGTTATTTCTAAACAGAAAATAAATGCACAAATGGATATTCAATCAACATTTCATTCCTCATTTCTCGCAATTAATTATCTCAATTAATTAAACAATGTAATTAGGCCATTTTCCATAATTACCATTTCAACCCTTAGGTCCCGTTTTCATCAATGATTCAACAATCATTCCATTTTTCTATGCCAAACATGCATCTAGGTTTATTATGAATAAAACCCCAACTTTTTGTAAAATTACGCAAAAGTCCCAAACTTTCACAAAATTACCCAACCAAGCCCAACATCTCAAATTACCAAAATTTAAAGACAAAATCCATAGAGAGGAGTAGGATATCCCTACCTCGAAGTTTGAGCCACAAAGGAGATGAAGACTCGAAGATCTCCCGCTCGAGCGCAGAATGCACTCGCTCAGCACTTTTGCAGAACCAGACCTCCGCTCGAGCTCCCAACCCTACGCTCGAGCGTACAACACTGCACAACAAATACTGGATGGGTGTATTCCCCGCTCGAGCGCCAACATCTACGCTCGAGCGGACAGGCCAAAAATCTGGGCAACTAGTTTTGGTTTCTAAACTCAACCAACCTGAAACAAACCCACCCAACACATCCCATAACTCAAATATGAAGTAAAGAGGATGCAAACAAGATAATAGTCAACTACCAACATCTACAGACACAAGTCTGGATCACTATACAACAAGGGTAAACCCGAGATCGCTATAAATTGTAAGTGTGAACATTGATATTATACAGCAAAAGTGACTGCAATAGAAGAGAGTAACAAACATTGTAAGTGTAAACATTGATATTATGCATTCACTTTGTTATCAACATTGAACATTCATAAGGATTCAGCATTCATAAGAATCAACATTCATTAGAATTTAAAGTGGCTTTGTTATCAAGATTGAGGTAGTTGAATGTATTCGTGTTTTTTATGTAGATTAAAAAATGGCTTCATCTTCTACTAATGGAATGAGAATAAGATTGAAGCCAAGATTCTGTTATTGTGGAAGAACAGCATCCGTGCAGATTGTACGAACGAATGAAAATGGAAATGAGGGACGTGTTTTTTTTTGTTTGCCCAGACAAATATGTAAGTATCTGTAATATAAATTAATGTTTCACTTGTTACAAATTTCATTTGTCTGATTTCATTAATCGATTCTTTTGCATTGTAGACTATGAATGAACACTGCAATTACTTCGCCTTCACAGATGATGATGACAACGATGTTGCCTCCACAGATATAAGAACTGAAGAAATTAATGAGCTAAGGAGAAGGGTTGGTGAGCATGATAGAAGGCTCGAAAGGATGGAGAAGATTTTGAAGGCAATGACTTATGTCATTGTATTTTGTGTATTTTTTTACTTTATTATGTAAATGAATGTAATGGACATATTTTGGGAAGTGTTTGAATGGATGTAATGGACATATGTGAATGACCTATTCTATTATGTAATGGACATATTTTGTAATGGACGTATTTTGTAATGGACCTATTTTGTAATGGACGTATTCTATTATGTAATTTCAATGGATCTGTTTTATTATGGATTTAATAACCATAACAGATTGAATGGATGAATTTACTGTTTGAACAACCATAACCTGGACCATTTTATGATGAATCTGTTTCAATGGATGTGGAGCACAACAGATTGAGCATTCAGGCAGATGCACAGATTGAGCATTCAGGCAGATTGAATGGATCTGTTAAAAATATGGACCACAACAGATTGACCATTCAGACAGATTCACAGAATGAATCTGTTTACATGGAGCATTCAATCATACAAAATGTGGAGCATTGTTGCATTCAGATTCAAGCCTTGAAGCATTCAAAACCTGTTATGCTCACAGATACATTCAAAACTTGTTTTGCTCACAGACATACAGATTCAAGCCTTGATTCAAACATGTTATGCTCAAAACATACATTCAAAACCTGTTATGCTCACAGACTTATAAAACATACATTGAAAGGCTGTTATGTCACAGACATACATGCAAAACTTGTTATGCTCACAGACATACACATTCAAAACATACAGATTCAAAACCTGTTATACAGATTCAAAACCTTCAAGCATTCAAAACCTTCAAGCATTCAAAACATACATTCAAAACCTGTTCTGCAGATTCATAGATTCAACATACACACAGATTCAGCAGATTCATAGATTCAACATACACACAGATTCAGCAGATTCATAGATTCAACATACAGATTCTGTAGGTTCAACATTCAGATTCTGTAGATTCAACATTTAGATTTTGCAGATTCAGCAGATTCAACATTCAGATTTTGTGATGCTTCATTCAGCAGATTCAACATACAAATTCAACATACATTCAAAACCTGGAATATTACCATAAAATATAACCTGTGGCTATCAGATATATACATTTCAGCATGACAGATATACATTCAAAAGCTGGCCCATTCAATATCCATTTGCCATCATTGAACATAAAATATGACCATTACAGTAAAAGGACACATCTCCAAATAGATGATTTACAACAACATATTTGTAGTTCTCAGTGAGCATTTTTTACAACAGTCACCCATCTTCAAGTAATGCACCAGGAATCAGATTCAGCATTCTGCATCTTCTTCATCACGGAGCAAAGACAGCAGCTCCTCTTCCTGAAAAAAATGACATCTTTATTTAAATACTTTAACATCTCCATTACATCCCAACCTTCACCAATCAAAACATCTAATATATAGAACTTGGCCAAGTCAATGCATATAGCTCCCAATTAAAAACAGTGATAAAAAATTACCATGAAAGTGATTGTCGAACTTTGAGTATGAGATGTGCCTCCAATATTGTCCACCGTTTGCATTTGACTAAACTGTGTCTATTCAATAAAGAAGTACACTTTACAAATATTGTCCATTCAACATATATAGTAATTAAAATAGTAAGAACCAATATTTTAGTTTAAACATTGACCACATACCGGTACATACATACTCTGTTGTGTGCCATCCATGCAAGGAAAATAGTAAGGTGCAGTTTGCGTCGCCTTATGATCATCGTAACACAATTTCATTATACATAGAAGGCATTAAAATAAAAAATAACCAACAACATAAAAATTCAAATACATACCGGCTCATGATAAGTATTGTCTTGCATATCATCGGTACCAGGAAAATTTAACTTCCGAGGCTAACATTGATGAACCGGGTCGGCTTTTGGAGGCTTTTTACTCTATCCCTTCAACCGATTCACTATTGCATCCACTTTGCTAACCTTCCGTTTCGTACATGGACGTCCTCTTCGGCGAGCAACCATTGGACTAAGCATGTTGCGAGACATGCTTGCTTTTGTAGTACTACGAGCAGACAGACTTCTCAATGAACTATGACAATGTGGTACATTACTAGTAGAAGGTGGCACGTCACTAGTAGAAGGTGGTGCATGACTCGCACTACCCGATTGATCTTTTCTCACCCTATCCTTGATTTCTATCAACCCAAGATCAAGCACTTCATGTTTACCATCATCGTTGGCAGCTATTTCTAGGATTTTGTCCAACATCTTGCGGTATTTGTCATGCAACTTTGCATTAAGAACAGCCCCGGCTTTAGTGTATGTGGTTAGAATGCATGTGTACCCTCTTTCGAGATCTTTTCTCCATCTTGATACAATATATTGATCTGGCACCTGATATATGCACCTCTCAAGTAGCACAGTAATTGCATGGGCACACATAATGCCCCTAAACTCAAACCACCGACACATACAATGCAATTCACATTCAGTTGCATTAAAGTACACAACAAATTCCACAGTCTTCATTTTCTCACCCACAAGAACAGCCTCCTTCACATGATAAGTACAAATAGTTCCCTCTTCTTTGACAAGATTCGCACGACAATACAATAGTCGTTTCAATTCTACTTGCACTTCTTTAAATTTTGCATTCGTGTAGGCTGCACGAAATTGCTTTTCAAACTCATATACCGTTAAGCAATCATACAATTTGTTTCGAGATTTGAAGTCTGCTTTCATCTCTTTCTCAACCTTACTTCTCAAGGCATTATCATATTGTTCAACAAATTGCTTTAAAGTTATCTTTGAGTTCACATATCCATCAAAAAATGCATTCATGCTCTCACTTCGTTGTGTAGTCGACATGCCAGCCCAAAAAACATCCTTCACATACGCAGGAATCCACTTGTGTCGCTCACTATATAATACCCTCAACCAGTCATTATCATCTAGATTGAACTTACCAATCATCGCTTCCCATTCTTCATCAAATTCATGTTTTATAAAACAATCATAAACTGCATTTTGCAAAGCAAGCTTGATGGATTCATATTGGGCATATCCTCTTAATTTTTTAAGAATTTTCTTCATGATATGCCATAAGCACCAACGATGTCGAGCTTCTGGACAGACAACTTCAATGGCATTTTGCATAGCTCTACACTGGTCTATTATTATAGCTTTTGGAGGAACGTCAGACATACAACTTAACCATTCTCTGAAGAGCCAGGCAAATGTTTCAGTGTTCTCATTAGATACTAGCCCATAACCAAGCAAAATTGACTGCCCATGGTGATTAACTCCTACAAACGGAGCAAATGGCATATCATATTTGTTTGTGAGGTAAGTTGTGTCAAATGAAACCACATCCCCAAGTGCTTTATAAGTTGCCCTACTCCTTGCATCCGCCCAAAACAAGTTTCGCATGCGACCATCTTCATTGAGGTCAATTGCATAATAGAAGTTTGAATTTTGTTGTTGCATCCTATGAAAATAAAGTGCAACTGATTCAGCATCTCCGACCCCAAGCCTCAATCTTTTCATACTCTGAATATGATTCCTAGCATCTTGTTCATCAAATGTTAATGCCTCATACCCCCCTGCTTCAACAACTATAGAATGAAAATTCCTAGCCACCCCTATTCTTGCTTCATCGTTTATTTCTAGTCTTCTCTTCACAGGGATAAGAATTCTTTTATTCATTACAAAATGTCGTGAGTCACTAGGAATCAAGTCATGCGTATGTTCAAGGACAACTGTGGTCAACTTAAATCTTCCATCCTTTTGTAGAGTTGCTCTAACCTTTGCTTTACAGTCAATGAATGATAACAAAGATGGTTTGAGAGTGTCACGACCCAAACCCGGCCCTATGGGTTTAGCACCGTAACCGGCCAGTAATCCGAGATTACCGAAGGCCTGCAGAACAGTAGTATAGTAAAACAGAGTACAGGGCCTGGCGGAAGCCAAAACAGTAAATAAATAATGTCCATTGAGCTGTGACAGTCTGTATGCCAAAAAGATTTTTCAGGCATTCACATATACAAACAGTACAGTCTATACAAAATTTACAGTCACATAGTACAGGGACCAAATCCCTTGATAACAGTACAGTTAGTAGTTGACAGTCTATACAGTAAACCAAACAGTACGGAGACAGACGGAGGAAAAACAAGACACCCCAAAGCCATAGCATGGCAACTCGGAACCTCGCAGTGAGGCACAAAGGCTGGCTTGACAAAACTGGAGTCTAACCCGCGCTCCTAGCTCCGATCTGGTGGCTGAGCACCTACATATATATATAAACAGTGAGCTAAAGCCCAGTGAATAACATAATGTGTAAGGAGGTTAAGAATGAAATGTCCTTATAGTAATGAAATCAGTTCATTAAACAATACTTCAGTCTTTCAGTCAAAACAGTTATTCAATCATATGTGGTACATCCATTAGCATAGCAGTAAACAGTAGGTCTTAAAGACCGAACAGTAATGATGGCCATCAATCAGTAAACAGTAGTGGTTCCACGAGGGAACCGACAGAGATCTCTGTAACAGTAACAGTCAGTAACAGTAGTTGCTAAGGATGCCACAATACAGTTCAGAATAGAGGGCATACATTCATTCAATTAACAGTAACAGTTCAGAAAGCAGTACAGTTCAATTGTTCAGAAGATAATCATTTTGAACATATCTTTACACAGTTGTTACTCACAGAGTTTGGGCTACAGTATGCTAGAGCGCCCCTCCCCAGTCGCCAACCCTACACAGTTAACAGATTGAACACACACTAAGCTACACAGTTGGGAGATAACATAATTTAACCCCTAATGCCTCGGTGTGTTCTACATCTATCCTCAACAAGATGTCTTAAACTAGACCTAAGAATGCCTAGAATGGAATGACAATGCAAAGATGTGATCAGAAGACTGTTTCAAGATTTTCAGAAAAACAGAGTCCCGCTCGAGCGCAGGTTTCCCCGCTCGAGCGGTCATGCAACAAAGGTACACGCTCGAGCGTCAACTTTCCCGCTCGAGCGTACTGTAAAAGTACTGGATGGGTGAAATCTCTGCTCGACGCCCGTTCGAGCTTGAGACATGACTTCGTTCGAGCGCCCAATCCTCCGCTCGGGCGGACTGTAAAACAGTGCAGAGATACTGGATGCTCGGATTCCACGCTCGAGCGGCACTTCCCCCGCTCGAGCGGAAGTGCAGAATCTGGGAATTTCAGATTGCACCTCCAAGCTCAAACTCACATTAAAATGCATCAAAACCAATCCTCTTGGGCCCATTTTCTGGAAAACATTTATAAACACATAGAATATCCTAGTTCAAAGCTCAATTTTGAGAAATCAAGGCCCAAGGGTGTTTAATTCAAACTCAATTTCAAACCAATTTCATGAACAATATGAACACGCAAACATGCATGAATTCAAATCATTTGGAAGTTCCAATCTGATGCTCTAAGGAGCCAATTGATCCAAAAACAAGTTGAAAACATGGACCATTACAAAATTATGAACATGCATGTTCCATTTCACCATGGATTCAACTCAAAACTCATCAATTCAAACATGCATACATGAATTATGTTCTAATCCTACATGTATGAACTAAAACATGGCTTAACTCTACAAATGAAGCATGAATCATGCAAGAATCAAGTCTATGACAACAACAAGAAGATGAATGTCCTACCTTAGTCTTGTGTTCAAGGTTTAGGTGTCCAATTTGACAATTTGCACTTTAATTCCAAGCAATTCAAGCCAATTCACTAGAACAATTCAACTCTCTCCCTTCCTCTCTCTCTAAGACCGGTTGAACAAGGAGAAGGAACTAATGAAATGTTTTGATTCATGATTCAAGCATGCAAGGGCTCTAATGTGTTATATTGAGTGGGCCACTAAGGGTGGCAATTTGGTAATAAGTCCAGTTCATGTAATTTAACACCATTAATCTAATTTAATCATACCTAATCAGTTTTCAGATAATTATACCATAAAATCACATTAATTATGAGGATCCTAAAACATCAATCAATTCCCGGTTCGGCCGCCGACAAGGCCTTCAATTAGCAGTTTAAACGTAAAACACGAACAGATCAAATAATCAATCAAACAGATAGATGCACAATTAAACAGATAGACTCAGTCAATTAATTCCAGATTCCAGTCAGTCAGTTCAGTACTTTAATCAGTCCAATTATCAGTCATAATCAGTCATTAATCGGTAAACAGTATGAGGGTTGTTATAGAGAGGGTGCACTTCTGATCGTTTTGTTCTCTTGCGTACCTGAGTACATTCAACTCCAAAGTATTTTACTTCCCCATCTTGTCCAATATTCTGTGTTCTATAAGCTACAGCAAATCCGACGTGCTTCGCAAATTTTGCATAAAACGAATATACTTCTTGCTTTGAGCTAAAACACATGCCCTTAATAGGTTCTTCAACTTTACCAATGTCATTTAATGACGGATTGTTTTTCGCCTCTTCAACTTCTTCACTCCCATTCAATGAAGGATTAGTTGAATCAATTAATGTCCATTGAAGTGTGTAGTTCGTGTAACTTCAAACCAAATAGAACCTAAACTGTAAGCGCATGTATGTGCATTTCAATTTTTCAAACTGAGATGAAATTCAACACTGATATTAATTCAACAACACTGACATTAATTCAACACACTGAGATTAGAAGGTGGTGCATTGCTCGAGGAGGTTGATTCATTTTAACAAACAGAATCAAAAGCAAACTAAAAATCTATGGTTAAGTTAAGTTGATTACAAGGAAATTTATGTTGTGGTAGGGAGTTCAGAAACAAACTGAAAATATATGGTTCAGTTAAGTTGATTACACAGTAAGGGAAGTCCTGATTTTTCATGTGAACTCAACCAACACCAAAAATAGGCTAAGTTCTCTATGTGGGCTTTCATCAAACAATTGGTATACATCACTACCATGGAAATGTTTAACAAAGGGCTTGCTTCCAGAACAACCAAAATTTTTTTTAACATATACATATCAATAACCAGATGTTCAATCCATAACAAACACAGATCAATAACCAAATGGTACATAGCTGCTGTGGAGACTAAGGCCTCGTTTGGGGACTGACTATTTTAGCTAAAAACTCAAAAAGTTAACTAAAACTAGTTACATCACCTCTCTACTTTTCTACACATCTTTTCGTAAAAAGCTAAAAAGTTATTAAAATAGCCTGTTCCCAAATGAGGCCTAAGTGCAGAATTTTTTTAACATACACAGATCATTATTAAATGGAGATTCAGTGGAGAACATACAGATTAAGTAATTGTAGATAGGTAAGTAATTGTCTCTAGATTCAGTGTGTTGAATCTGCTGAATATACACAGATTCAACATACAGATTACTTACCTATAGATAGGTAGGTAATTGTCTCCAGATTTAGTTAAGAAAAACGTTTTTTGTATTAACATACATCTCAAATTCCTTACCTACAGATACAAAATAGAGATTCCGAACACCGTTGGACAGTGGTCAGCGACGCCCGTCAGTGAACACCAGGTCGGTCGTCGTCGTCGTCTCTCTCGCCCTCGTCGTCGTGGTCGCAACCTTCTCTCGCCATCGTGGTCGTCTCCCTTTCTCTCCCTTTTCTCCTCTCTGGTTTCTACTCTTTTGTTTCATTTTTCTTCATCACTTTGTGCAGAACACGTGAGCTCCACGTGAATCAAAATTTCATGCGGGAAAAAATTCGAGCCGTTAGTCTTTCGGGCCCTGTACCACGATTGAGACTTTTAGTCCACCAAACTTAACAACCGTTATTTATTAGATTAAAATGACACAATCTATTAAATTAAGAGATAAAATTAAATAAATTAAAATAACAAAAACTAAATTAATATATGATATAAACTAGAGAGACTATTTATATCATTTATTTTAAAATTATATATTTTGTAATAGAAATATATACGATATGCAGCCTAAAAAGGATGCACACCACAAGAGAACCTAATATCTATTGGATATTTTAAATTTTTATTGTTGCACAATGATTGAATCTCTTTAAAAATAAATAATAAAAAGTGGGATTTCTTTGATCCACTTTATTCTATCACAAATTATATTTATTTATTGTAATTTTATAGTATTCCAATATTTGTTTCTTGTAAGAATTGTATAAAAATGACGATGGTATATTTGGGGCATATTTGGAAGTAACAATTGGCCTTCAAATCAAGGTCTATTATGGTCACATCATAAAGTTATTATTTTAGGGTTTGGCTTTACAGTGCTGTTGAGCCCATGAGGGCTACCATAGGTCCCTTTTTGATAATTTAATTTGTTCAATATATAAAATTTATTGAATACTATATATTTATAAAAAATCAGGTTGATCAAATATCAATAGCTATGTGATTAAATCAGTTTTGTATTAAAAAAATGAACGATGAAAAAATAAACGGTTGATTGAAATCTGATCCGATAAAATAACTATTGATATTCGATTAAAGTGATTTTTTACAGGCATATAATACTCGATGATTTCTACATATTAAACGATTCAGATTATCGAAACGGAACCCGTGGTAGGCTTCCAAGAATCAAAAAATAACCTCCAATTCGATCGCTAATTGAAGGGAAGCCAATCCCATTATTTTAATAATACTAAGAAACTTTCAACTTTTTAAATTTCGGGTTAATTAAAAAAAACCTCTAAGATTTTACATATTT